AGTACCATAGGGAATTAAATAGTACAAGGCGCATAGAGGGAAGGAATCACAATAGACTAGCAACCATGCAACGAAGCTTTTGGTTTTTTTAGACACAACAATAATTTTGTAGCTTTGGCCGATGTGTATTCATGATGGGACCTTACCACTAGCACTACATGTGGTTTTAGAAGGTCTCATATATTATATATAAGTTATAACAGAGTTTTTGTTCATTTTTCAGTGTGTTGACAAGAGAGGGCTTCATCGATGATGTTCGGAGGAGACGTTACTTTGAGAAGCCGTGGCAGTACCGGAGACGAGTCAACTACGAGAACATGCGAGAGATCTACAACAAGGAGATGGCACGGAGAATCGACTTCACCATGCGCAAGTCAAGACCAAATCCCTGGGTGGGGTGACATTCCATGTTGTGCAATGCAACAAGAAATACGGATGAGACTGAGTAGCTGGGTTATGAGATGGAATGCAGATGAACAAACTGTCCAAGCTGCACTGTGCAGTATGAACTCGTCTTTTATGTAGACTGAAAACTGGATGAAACAAAGCCCAATATGAAAGAAACTGTAATTGCTCGTCAGCAAAATGTCTTAAATATGGGATGGCATCGTTAACTCTTTTAAAGCTTCCATGTTGTCACCAACCTTAAGAATCACCCTAGCAAACCTCAAGAATCAGGCTTAAATAAAAATGTTCCAACTTCCAACAGAGAAAAATATAACAACAGAGTGAAACATGTACAACATTTCATCTGAATATATTTTATTGTCATACAATTAAAAGAATTATCACCTTAATATGATTTTGTTGTGGATTTTTGCATGATAAATGATGTAGTATCCACATGGAATTGCATAGTTTCTACCCAATATACAAAATGTATATATATACATACATACTTATACATACATGTAGCAAATGATTATATCTGTAATATAGCTATTAAACAGCATAAATAACATGTATGCCTGCTTCAAAGAAAAGCAACAGATGAATATAAATTTCTATCAAATTCAGCACAGCATCACGTCAGTAATATTAACATTCCCAGCCGTAATGCCTTTCGTACAATTTTAATTGTAATTTATGTAAAACCTTATAACTTGTTAAAACTTGAAACATTTAACTTCACCTCCTTACTGGTTTTGTTGGAGAAACCTTCTAAAATAATTTTTTATTTCCAAATGGTTTCAGGCCTCAAAAGGTACAATTTAAGTACACAGTTTCAGAGAAAGAATCTGTCCAGAGTGGTTGTTTTTGTTGGCGGCTTCTCCTGTTTTCTCCGTTTAGCTGAAGATCCTATCTGTGTGGCAGACCTGGGAGGAGAGAAAAAAGGCAGGTTCAGGCATGGACTTGGTAAGACAGGTTAAAAACTATGTATCAACATCTACCATACTGACTCAGTGTACAGTTATTACAAAAATGTATCTGATACAATCAAACAACCCAGGAGGACAAACCTTTTGGCTGCCTTGTTAGTTGAGATAGTGCTGCATGGTGGCTTCTGGACTTCAGTTTTTGAGCAACCTGTAAGTTAAGGAAAATCAGAGAAAACTGATATGGTAAATTACATGATGAGAATTTCAATTAATTGACCCCTTGGAATTCAAAAGTTGAAGAGAGATTCAGTTAAAAATTCTGGGTAGTCAATTTCTTTGAGTTGGAGAACAGTTAATTCTCATTACCACAGACTTTGTTGTAGATTATTGAGCGCACATGAAAATTGAGAGAATGAATAACTACTATGTAAACCTTGCTCCTTAATGATGTCCTTGATTGTTCCCCGGCTGAGACACATGTCCACATGTTGGTTGAAGGACAGAAGATCCCCTGACTGGAGCTGACCACAGACTGGACATTCCACACTCCCCACACCACCTGTGTCTGTGTGGAAAGAAAGAAACAACTTACACAATGTGACCAATCATTGTTATTTCATAGTTGTGTGAACTGCTAGTATATAGACTTGGCAGCAAGTAATTATCAATATTATTATGAGAGCTGTACTTGCCCTCATTCTGTACATGCTTGCCAACTCTGCTTTCGATTGATAGATAAATAGTAAGTTGAAACAAAATCTTTTTTTACACATGAGAAAATGATGACATGTACCTGTCAGTTGTGCACTTGTAGTTTCCATATCTTGCTCTTCCATTTCTTGTTCATTTCTTGCCACCATGTTTTCACTCCTTGCTGACTCTCCCTCTTCAGACTCATTACCAGATCCTTTCCTGATGAGACACATATCTACATGCTCATTGAAAAGTCTTAAATTGTCTTGTTGGGGTTCATTGCACACTGGGCATGTATATGCTACTGCAGTACTACTCCTTCCTGCTAGGTGATCTCTCTTTTCAGAACAATCTTGCCCTTCAGTGTCACTGAAGATTTCTGTTACTGGAAAAAGTTGTTCAAGGCTTCTGCTTGTGTCTTGTTCAGAAGATTGTGTAAGATCATGAGGTTTCTGGGGAAGTTCTTTGGCTTCCTTCTGATCAGTGTTGATGGCAGCAGCAAGAGAGGGCAGAGGTGGTTCATAAAGAACAGCTGTACCTCCACCTGACAGGATCCCTGTGACTTGTTTTTGTCCTTGTAAATCTGAGCTGACATGTACATCCTGCTTGGGCTTGAGGAAGGATGTAATGCTTCCCTGCTTCTGGTCTTGCTGATTGCCCTTAAGGAAGTTGGACAATCTCACACCTACATAAGGAGATAGGAGCATCCAGTTGGGAAAAACTAAAGGAAATCATATGACCTCTTGGAGAGGTCAAAGATGTTGAAGTTCATAGCTTGGCTAAACAACAGAGCATCACTCCGCAAAAAGTATTGCGAAAAGTTATGCAACGTATTTGAGTGCACTGTACGATTAAAGCACTGTACAATTAAAGCACAGTAATCACTTGACTACATTGGCTGTGTCAGAAAACAAAAGGACTATATCATCAAAAAAACAAAATCAACTTGTCAGACACATACCCATAAGCCTAAGCCTGAGAGGTTGTGGCTGACATTGTTGTATCTCCATCTTAAGAAGTTCCTCTGCTACGTCATAAATCTCATTCATAGAGGAAACAGCTCGAGGCACAGTCTGTCCTCTCTGCTTCACCTCGAAGTTCACAGTTTTCAGCTTGATGGTGACTGTACGGCCCTGGGAGAATGCCAAAGAGAGATAGATTAAGTTGCATTCTTATAGTAATTCATAAGAAAGCAAAGCTTAACTCATGTTTATCCAATGTGGTATGTTGTTCCAAAATTGCAGGAAATGAAAATCAAGATAATATTCATCTTGTCGACTGTGTTTACCCCATAGATTCATACTTTTGTTAACTACAACACTTCAGCACACTGTCCCTTGTTTTGTTCAATCATCTTTATGACAGCTTGTCACATTATTGTCACCTTTAACCCCTCGTCCTGCAAATCTTTGGCCAGTGCCTCACACAGCTCCCAGCACTTCCTGTACAACTCTGACGGCTTGCTCAGCTCACTGAAGGTCCTGACAAATAACAGTAGAACATTGTTAAGTAACGTGCAGATCAGGAAACAATCAACAGCTGTCAAGCTTGAGTCTGAAATTTTTCACAGTGGATATCATTCTGAACTGACAAGTGAAGTGTCACTGCATCAGTACAGGAAGGATTTCTTACCTCTCCACACTCATACTCTTCCTCTCTGATTCTCTGTGATGTGAGAAAAAATTGATTTAGAGGGAATAACATGAACAGCAGGAATAATATTAACATTATCAGATATTGTAACTTTTCCTTACATTCAATTTTCAAAGCTCTACTATTCTGTTATATGACTTCTGCTTCGTTATTTTGTTATGGTATCAAAATGGTGCTGAAAAAATGTTTTGTATCAGTGCAGTAGTAGTACACTGTATTTCAGGCTGAGAGGTCGTACCTTTCTATCCTGGTTGCTCCCAGCCCCAGTGCTACCCTCAGCAGGTGGGAGGAGCTGATAGGTGAGAAGAGCAGGGACAGGACAGCTCTCTGTTCATACAGGTGAGTACAGGTGGTGATACCCAGGGCATTCAGCTGTTGGGCCATCACCTTACCTATCCCACACACCTGCAAACACAAACAGTACTACATGAATAATAGTTACCCCAGTAACTTATCTCTTCCACAGATTGTACACAATCCCTACGGCATGTTAATCTCTTATGATAAACCAGGCAACAAACTACTACATTTGTACTTGTTGACATTAGTAACTTAAACTGACCAAAAAAGAACTGAAGCATTCATTTTGCCCCCTCACCTTGCGTACTGGGAGATCCTTGATGAAGTCCATGATAGCCTCACAATCAGAGGGAATATAGAACTGCCCGTTGGGCTTGTTCTGGTCTGAGCACACCTTGGCCAACATCATGTTTGGAGCTATACCTGGACAATCAAACACACAAGGTTCATGTCTGTGGTAAATTCAATACTGCAATGGCCAGCAAGTACACATGGCTAACTAGACTTTACAAAGTGAAGACGATGAAAGCTGTGTCTACTTAAAAGTATCACTAAGACTATATACAAGTACAATGCCTTTTGCCCTACACAGAATAGTGTACTTCTGAATCAGTACATGTACTTAAAAGTTACCTGCACTGGCTGTAAGGTATGTCCTCTGCTGTATCCTGAAGCGGATTTCTCTGACAACTTCTTCTGCATCACAGCCAAACACCACCTTTTCACACCCCATAGTCTCACAGTCATGGCCTTCTGGTTTTTCCTTTTCTTTCACATCTTTAGCAATCTGTTCGCAAGTTTCTGGCAATTCCTCTGTTCCACAACAGGGAGAAGAGACATTATCATCGTGACACGGTGTTACTTTGCTTTTTTCCAAACTACCATCTTCATCATCAATGTTTGTTGTAGAATTTACTGAAAGTTCAGGCACTTTTACACTAGCCTGTGTCTCTCCCAACATGTCCTCTTTCTTTTGATTGTCCACTGCAGCATTTTCCTTTGACATAAAGCACTCCTCTGTGTGGGCATAAAATGTTCTCTCTTCTTCGGGTAATGATTTCCTCAGCTCTAGATACTCAGTGAGGTCCATGTAAGCCTCATCCAGACTCATGGGGGCAAAGTAGGGGTCATACTGCCTGAGCACGTCCCTGACCTGGCTGCTGACCGTGCGGTACTTGTCAAAGTTAGTCGGCACGATGACCAGGTCAGGACAGAGCTTCTTCCCTATAAAGCCTGGCATGGCTGCCCGAACACCATACTTCCTGGCCAGGTAGTTGGAGGTGGACTATAGGCAGAGGAAAAGGGAGGCAAGATCAACTACAGAGAATGGTGTGTTTCAACATGTTACTTTACACCAAATCACATATAAAAAACATACAAGTTCATTGTTGAAGCTGAGCAGTCAACAGAAAATTTGGCACAAAAAAAATTAGTACATACAAGTTTCAAAGCCAGACTGAGATATTTTGGTACCTCAGATAATATGACCAGAAGTAAATACAGGAGAGGGTACATACCAGCATCCCAATGCCTCCCACAGCCATGGGTTTATCCCTGAGGGCAGGGTTGTCTCTCATCTCTACAGCAGCGTAGAAGGCATCCATGTCAAGATGCACTATAGTGCAAGACAGGTCTCTCCCTTCAACAAGGTCTTCCACCATCTTGTCCATCTGAGTAAACAAATATGTTTAAAATTCAATTTTGACGTATACCATTATTATTGAAGTAGAAAGGCTCAAGCAGCTGCATATGCTAAATAAAATACTAACAATACCTAGTGTGATATCTTGAAGTGATTTTAAAGTTGAATTGGTATGAAATAATTGATTTTTACGACACAATCAAAAAACAGAAGATCCTTGTACCACGTTATTGTAAGCTATCTTATTGTCATGCAAATAAAGTAACACACTAGTGCTGCTTTCCATGAAATGCTTTTGGTTGTAACTAGGTCCAGGGACAAACCTTGAAATTTTCTTCTACAATTTTGGTAACAGAAAAGAATTGCTTAGGTTTCTTTCAAGCAGTAAATTATAAAGAATGAACTGAAGGGAGACCTGTGATACATTTTGCCTGACCTGTATCTGAGCCTCCTGCTGCTGCTGAGGTGTGATGGAAGCCAGCCTGTCCATCATGGCAGAAATCCTGCCGGCCATCTGCTTCTCTTTACGCAGCTCATTCTCATAGAACCTAGAACCCTAAACCAAGGATGGGAGAACATTGAATACAACAGCCATAGCTAAACAAATATCTTCAAACATTGACCAAAATAAAATAAGACTGTATAACAACTATACAGTTGCTACCTTGAAGACTTGAACACTTTTTCATTTATTTTGGCATTTGTTAAATGGCACCATACAGGAGAAGAGTGTATAACTACACCTTGCTATATGAAATGATACAAGCACAAATGACTGTGGTCAGCAAGAACCTTTAGTTTATATAAAACCTAACCCTGCTGGCTAATACAAATGTAATTTAGTTAATCTATAATGATTATTACTTTTGATGCTTCCATGATGATTTTATTGATCTTCTCCTTGTCCAGCCCTTCCATGCCTGCCTTGAAGGTGTTGAGTTCCATGCGTGTCATGAGGCCTGTGCCCTCTGCAGAAGAACTACTGGCACTGCTTGGTGGGTCACTTGAAGTTGCAACTGAAGGACCAGGACTTGAAAATGGCGCTACAGGAAAGATGGTCACAACTCACAAACATTAAACATATCACAATAGCCATCAGAGAGACTACATGACATAAGAGTGGTTCCCACTCAATAAATATATAAATACTAATGTTACAAATGTATAAGGTTACACATTTCTGCATTTATGTGGAAAAGGAAGGTACAGACATGTAGGGAATTTTTTGTTTATTCAAATTAACCGTTATATATTCTTCATGAAATCAAATTACTATGCCACATATACGTTTATTCCATTCAGATGTGCTTACCCGTTGAACGGGCCAGTGCTGGTGAGTGATGTTGATCTTGAGCCTCCCTCCCATCCACAGGAGCCGACCAATCCTCTTCCATGTCCTCCTCCTCCTCCTCCTCCCCCTCCCCCTCCAGCCAACAGGATTCCATTTCCTAGGATTTGACAGGAGTCCGCAGGGCTGACACAGGCGGGATTTTACAACCTATCAAGTCTAATGAGTATTGGCATTCAGTAGAACCTGACAACAGTAAGCAAGACGTACGGATAGTCGATCAGCTTCTGTAAAATCCGCGATTGTGATCAATGAATGTGGATGTGGAGTCATTGTGGACATTCCGCCATATTTTCAAACCATTCGTCACGTGACGCAATGAACTCGCGTCGAATATTATTCAATTCTCCAAAAATTATCAATGAGCGCTAAAGATGGATCTTTATCGATTTTTGGATCATCCCCTGCCTCGGGCGGATATTTGTGACGTCCACGTGAAATTTTTGATCGATCGATGGGTGTGGTGACGTCACAGCCAACATGGCCGACGAGAAGAGAAGTTTGTGTTTGTAGGCGTTTTTCGCTGACATGTTTTGACGCCTAGCTCGCTCTAGTTCAAACATTACGGACTCTATAGCTCTTCCAAGCAGGTTGTAACGGTCTGGAGAACATTTTAGACGACAATGTCTGACCACAGCTTAAATGCGACCGACGAAGAGGAGAATTCTTCGTACGACGAAGACTTGGCTAACACACCAACGGAGATTTGCGAGACTCTTTCGGAGTGGACAAATTACATTCACGGTGGCAAGATAGGTACCTGGTGCTCAAAGATGGGACTCTAAGCTACTACAAGTCAGAGAATGAAACGGAATACGGATGCAGAGGATCCATAAGCCTGGCCAAGGCCTTGATACAGGTAATTTTCCGGCTGCGTGCTTTGAGTTACATGTTTTGTAAGCACGGCGGTGCGAGGACGGTTTTGCGTTTAGCTTTAGGATCGCTTTTCAGTCTCTCAGCGTCTTCTTATGCCCACAAAATCTCTTTCACGCCTCCACACAAATATGCTGCTGTTATACAAGGGTCAAGATCGTGTTTAGGGTTTGTCGCTGTACACCAAATCCTACCAAACTGGCCGTGCATTCTGTTGTAAATAACACGAGTCTTACGTGTGTACGTGAATGCATGGCGTGAAAATGTTGTTGATACCGTTATCAGGCCACTTCAAAATTATACCATTTACATAATAGTCAAATAACGGACTTTGTATGCAGGTAAATTAGCAGGTTGCATTGTAAGAATTGTAGCCATGGTTCAGCTATGCATGTGATCTGAAGAAAACGTGTCTGTGCATCCTGTGTGAGTGAGTCACTCTACCCCCATAAGCACAGAAGCAATTTTGTGAAGTCACCCAAGGACAGGGATCAGCCATTCGGTCTGTGGGCGTAACAAGTGACAAAGGGATGTTGGTTCTGTCTCCTTTCCTTCAAGCCTTATAAGGTAGCTTCAAGGATGTGAAATGTACAAGTAAAATGGTTCTGTTTCAACCAACATGTGTGAAAAATAAAATAAAAATTAAACGATGATTGGGAATAAACAATTAATAAGATCATTCGCAACAAAGCATTTGCTAGCAAAAACTGAAAGAGAATGCTTTTGGAAATTAATCCTGTTGCCTATATTCAATCACATTTACAGTGGACATAAGAAAAAGCTTTTTTTTTTCTTTTCAAAAAAAGTAGGATACTGGAGAATGACAGTCAATGACTTGCGCATACAAACATAGACCTTCCTTCCTGATAAATTAACAATTGTTCTGTTACTAGTGTTAGCAAATTACAGCATACAGGATTATCTGTGGCATCACTGATTCCATCCATGGCTCGGTGCTGATCTAAGAATCTGCATGCCCATTGATTTAGTTTTTTTTTTTTTGGACAGCATATAACATTTAATGAAAACATGTGTAGTTGTGTACATGGCTCTTCGTGTACATAACTGACTCTAAATGCCACCCTAGCATTAAACACAGTATTATCAGTATGAATGTACATTGCCCTCCTTGTTCTGACTAGTCAACAAGTTGTGCTTGTTCAGCCCATGGTGCGGGTGTCTTGTGAGTGTCACCTTACAGATAACCTTGTTGTGTCAGTTATATAGAGCCACACGCTGCTAAAGGTTGTACAGCCTGACACTTGTTTTCACCAAATCACATGGTACAGGCCTGCAATTTAGAGCTACGGTATGCCTACAATTCTGCAGCTACTCTAGTAAAATATCAGCATCCATGATTTAGTTTATTATTTCTAAACTGAAGGAGAAATAGTATGTCTGAAATTGCTGCTGTTAGAAAATTTTCAATCAAGGCTCATGATTTCAAAGCATATACCAGTATGGCCACTTCAGGTCAAAGATTATGATGAAACTCCCTGTCTTATCCCATATTGAGTTTCATACACAGGAAATATGATGTCTTCTTGCCCATCCCTTCTTCCTGTCACCTTTGATACACTCTGCAGTATAGAATGTGCCTTACACTGTAACAGCTGCCACTTGGTGGCTTACCCTGTGCATGAAGATAGATATGCACTGTGTATTATGCTTTCATACATGCATGTGCTTACTTCTTGCTACAAAGTAGCAATCCTTGATGAAAGCTCCTTGGTCTAACCCTTGAAAATGCTTCAGGGAGATAAGATGCATTTTTTTTGGCTGACAGGTGGATTATTGAAACTGATTTGTATGAAACTAACAATATGAATACACAACAAATAAATGCAGTACTTGAATGATTGGAGCCTCCAAGTCTAGACAGAGTTATGAACCAGGGTAGAAATACATATTGTGCTTGCATGCTTTAGATGGATGATGTCTGGCAGTGACTATGGTACTTAACTCTCTGACGTCATGAATACAGAAATACATGAGACTCAGTCATCCAGAGATGATATGCTATCATGTGGGTCATCAACAGTTAATGATTTTTCTTCACTACCGAAACCTGTTGGGGATTATAGGAATATTTGGGGGATGCTCCGATCTCTTCCTCCTTTTTTCAGATGGTTTTACTGGGAAGTTGGAGTGATCTGATTCTAAATCTATTTTGTGCCAGGACTGATTTTTAAAAGGCGACATAGACATTTTTTACAGCTTATCAATCACAAATGTATGGATAACATGTAAAATCACTAGCTTGCAATCACTATTCATGATAGACATAACTACAATATTTAACACTATTCACACTTGCAAGGTCTCAGGTATTTGACCCATCCTGTACATGTAAATGTAGATTAGAATGTTCCTGCTCCCCAGAGAGCCTGTTTTTAATTTCAGGACACTTGTTTCCTATTTTAGTATGGCTGCTGAGCCTGAAGTCAAAACCTGTTGAATCAATTAGTTACAGACCTACATGGAAATGTTTATTTGTACTGAAATGGACTGTACTGTTTTGTTTTGTAGGTAAATTGTACATGGAGGTAAAATGTATTTGGATATTACCAGTAACTACATGTACCTTTGTACTAACAAACTAACAAAGAGCAGGGGGGTCCAGCATGGATGCCAACAATTTGTGCAGATGATTTGTGGAATCTCATCAGATAAACTGTCCCAGGAGACAGCAGCCTAGAAAGATGGAAAGCATCAGGCTACTGGACTTCTTCAACGCCTGTTGATAGATTAAGTAAATAAAAAACACCCCATTTCTGCCGAAGAAAAAGTCATGATTACATGAAGTTCGTCTGATGAGAAGTTAGTTGAAAGACCCTTTCTTCAACATACAGACCTGACCAAATTCACCAATGTTTTTATCCCCAGCCCCATGAGTTTGATGAGAACAGATTTGATGTGACGGTGAATGAGACGACATGGTACCTGCGCTCCGACAACACCGACCACCGGGAGCAGTGGGTCGCAGCACTGGAGGCACAGAAGGTAAACAAACAAACAAACAAGTACATACTCTTTTAACAGAGATAATGCTTGTAGCTTCCTATATCTTCAGCTTATGTCAAAATCATCTCTGAAGTGACATGTTAACATTTGTATTTTATCCCATTTCTGAATACGTGTAGTAATAGTACTGTATACCTTAGCTGATTGGCTACCAATTTTCTTGAAAAGTAAAAAAAAAAATGACCTTCATTGTACCATGTACTAGATGAAAATGTGGCCATGTTCTTTGACTAGATATGTAAAAAAAAAAGAAAACTTCAATCCTTATTGTCTTGATGTTTTGATACCCGTAGAACTGAACAGCTTTATGGACCATAATTGACATAACTTCTGTTCTGTAAGAGTTTTCCTTGTAGATCTAATAAAAAATTGGTTGTGAAGAATGTGCTTTTTAGTACATTACAAGCTGCTTAAGTAGATAAGGGGACATTATCTTCCTATCTGATGTACTTTGTTAATTTTTCATGGCCTGTCCCTTCCTGATGATTCCCCCAGAATGCAGCTGGCTATGGTCCAGACAGCGGTCTGCGTCGCCATGGCTCCCTGTTCTCTGTCTCCTCAGCAAGTCTCTCCACCGCCTCCAGCAGCTCGTTCAAGGTCAGTGTTTGTATCCATGCAGGTTTCTGTAACCTTAAGTCACAGGAGTGGATAGGGT